GTGCCGCGCCTGCTCCAGTGACGAGCGCGCGGCCAGCGATCCCGGGTCCCCCCTTTCCCCGGCGGGCCCCGGGCTGTTCGTTCCCGCGACCGGCGCGCGGGCCAGCCGGGCGCCGACCGCGCCGGTTCTGGGGCGGGAGACGGCCCGGGCGGCTGCGCAGGCGGCGCAGGCCGCCCTTCGCTTCGCGGGGCTCTCGACGCCAGGGAGCGCGCCCACGTTGCCGTCCACGGCTCAGAACTAGCAGAATGTCCTCGAGCCGCTCACGAGCTCCTTCCCCGAGCAAACCTTGCCCCCAGCTGCTCGCGGCTTCGGCCGCATCGTCCCGACCATGCGCAAGGCGGCGCCGCGGGCGCTGCCGCGGGCCGCGGGGCGCGCCATCGCCCGGGCGCGCCAAGCGCCCGCCCGCGCGAGGCGGGCGCCGCCGCGTAGCACCCGCTTGGATGTCGCTTGGGCGCTGGCGAGCTGAGGCTGGCCCGGATGAGCATCGAGTGATCGTCGGTTTCCTGCGCCGCCCCTGGCCCGCGAGGCGCCGCGCCTTGCGGGCCCGCGCAGTTTGGCGCGGCCCGCGGCCGCTGCCGGTCTGGCCCCTCTGGGCGCGACGCTGGTCAGCTCAGCCAGCGGCGAAGGAAATTGCTGTGTGCAAGCGCGGGCGCAGCCCCGGCGCATCTTCCTGAACCAAAGCGCTGAACACCCTTCGCCGCGCCAGGCGCGGGTCCGCATTGTTTCGCGAACTTGGCGCGAACGCCTCGCGCGGCCTGCCCCGGCCAGGTGCAGGTGGGCGCTGTAGAACGCGCTGCAGAGGGCTCAGCGCAGGAGGGCCGGCCAGTCGCCGGCAGGTCTGGCCCGCGATTGTCGGGCATTCCTGCTGCGCGACGCGGCGGGTCGAGCCCCGAGCAAGATCGGGCCGCGAGGAGTCCGTCATCATCGACATCGCGAGCTGAGCGCTTCCGATCCTGGAGGCGCTGAGGCTGGCCACCCGCCCGGAGGAGCTGCCCCGGAACTTCGATCTCGGGCGGCGCAATATGACGGCCTTCGCGGCGCCGCCTCCTCGCGCCGACGCGCGGGGGGGCCTCGGGGCGCACTGCGGGGCTTCGTTCCCGGCGCGGCGCCGAGGAAGGTTGGGGCCTGGCAGCGGCGGCGCGCAGGAGTCCAAGTTCTCGGCGGAGCTCCGCTGGGCGCCCGTCGCCAAGGGAGGTCCTGCCGGGTGGCCTGGCCAGCCGCGGGGCCAGGCGCCGGCGTCGCTGGCCGGCGCGGCGGGCCCCTGCAGGAGCAGCGCGGCCGGCGCGGCCGCGGCCGGGCGAAAGCGCAGGAGGCGCTGACGGCCTGCCCGGGCGCGGCCCAGCAGCACGCGCAGCGTGCATCCCGTCTGCCCGTCGGCGACGGGGAGATCCCAAAGCGTTGCGATTTCGCGGGGCGGCGCTGCAGCGTCGCCGGCGCCCTGAGGCAGGGCGGGCGTTCGGCCGTCGGCTTCGACATCAGTCGAGGCGCACATGATAATCATTTTGTGCGTGAGTTGTTTGACGCGCTTCGCGGGCGGATAGCAGCTCGGTGCGCGGCAGGCCTCGAGCCGCCAAAGCCGTGCGCCGCCTGGGGCCAGGGCTTGCGTCAGCCCTTCCGATCTCGACAACGCCCCCATCGGACTGGCCGACTTGTCGGAGTCAGAGAACGCCCAGCTGCAGGTCGGCAGCCGCCTGCAGGTCGCCAGCCGGACACCATCGGGTTTTCGTGCAAGATCATCGCTCTCGCCGGCAAGAGGAATATCCGAACCTCCCTCGAGATCTCCCAGGGCTGCATCGCGTTGCGCGCGCCAGCGCTGGTCAGATTGCCGCGCAGCCCATGCGTCAGCTTGGGTCGCCGCGGCGGAAGGCCGCGAGCATTGCAGCGCGATGCGCCCTTTTTCCGCAGCACCTCGCTCCTCGCTGTTTGGGGCGGGGCGTGGAATCTGTCCGATGGCAAGGAGGCCGCGCGTCGTTCTCTCTTGGCACGGCCCTCAGGGGCCCCGCGTTGCCCACCCAGCTACCCAGTGCTCCCCCAGGCTCGTTTCGAAGATTGGCCGCGTGGTGAAATCGCCTTTCGAGGAGACATGGGCGTTAATGTTTGCGCACTTTGCCGTTTCTGAATCATCAGATGCGGCAGGAAACTTCTGGAGCTCGACCTCACGGTGCCCCCCGCCCACGCAGGACAGTTCGCCATTCGGGCATGGGTGCGCGCTCCGGCTTGGCGGTCACGGCCTCGATGTCATTGGAGTTCGTTGCCTGGTCAGCCTCTCGCACAACATCAATCCTGGCGGGAGAAAAGATAGGCGCTCTGTCACAACTAACATGTAAAAGGCATAGGCCGCCCTGGACCCTGCCGCAACAGCCCGTTCACATATTTTATTACACCCTCCTTCTCTCACGTGCTGTTGCTATTGCTTCGCGTGCGTGTATATTTGTGTGCGTGTGTTTGTCTGTGTCTGTGCTTGTGTCTGTGTGTGTCTGCGTGTCGGTGTGTCTGTGTGTCAGTGCGCGTGTGGTTGTTGATTCCCTTTTCTTC